TCACAAATGTTCATTATTGCCAGCCAGATGGATTGGCCATGTCTGCGCGTAAAGTGCTTCCATGGACAAAGAATGCTAGTCCTCATTTGTGTGGGGATGTCTTTAAGGAAGAATCTTTGGGAATTCATGCCAATTGTTAAAAGAATCAATAATAAATTTCAAGCTCCTTGTTCTTGAATACCTTTTAAATTGGCTTACAATTTTTCTTCAATCTTCATCATCAGATGTCTCCATCAGTGGTTTCAACTGGCAAAGAACCAAATCTTGGAATACTGTAATAAACTTCCAAACATGTCTCTGTTTCAGCTCTTTTGCTCACCAACTCTATAATTCCTGTTCTCCACAACTCAGAACAGGTTACTTGCCTGCTGGAGGTCCTCCAGAAATATCACACACTACTGAGAATGACATCTAGACTCCATCCCAGGGCCTTACCTGTCCTGCTCAGTATCAGCACATAGTTTTCCACAGTTTTAAAATAATTATGCAAAAAGAAAATTAGCAAATATGAGAACATGATATAGTCTGACTACAAAAAAAAATCACTTTGGAAAAGTCTATGTATGTGGAACCTACTCATATTTTAGTGTAGTCAACTGACCAAGTATATGGAACCAGAGGTCTGGCTGTACTATTTTCTAGCTTTTAAGTGTGGACATATGACTGTTCTTCATCTATAAAAAGGATGTGGTGAGGATTAAATAAGTAATGAATGTAAATGTATGTGACCCATGTCAAGTGTTCAATAAGCACTGTATTATTTTTCGTATGTCCAGTCAGTAGCCCACACAGGCTCTGCATGCAGGCTGGAGCACTGCTCCTTCATGGAAAGTTAGCACCTTGTTGTCAAGAGATCACAGACCAAATGTGAAGCCATGGTCAGGTGGCCAGCAGTGACTTGAGGCAAGGATGGCCAACACATAGGCTGGGTGCTCAAGAAGGACAGGAAGAGGGTCTGTAAATGGTACAGATTGTGATCCAAAGATGTGATGCTGCTGTACACAGGCAGACTCTTTCACAGCTCTAGAGGCACTGCTAGGTGCACACCACCCATCTGGAATACAGGATGGAGTGGCCATGGGGCCCTACCTGCTTACATATCCAAAGGAGAGGGAAGCCTTGCACTTCCGTTCTCATATAATTTGTCTTTCAGCCTATCTTTCTTTTACTAATCATAAAGCTTCAAATATGTTTATTATTTTTCTGAGATATTTATTTCAGAGTAATGAATCATAATTTCAGAATAAAGGTCAGTTGCCTCAGGGTTTTGTGCCCCTGAATTTGATCTAAGTGGATATCTCCATAACTAAAAGTTATGCCTGCTAGTAACTGAAAAAAGTCATGTTTTTTTTTTTTTTTTAATTTTAGGACAAGAAGTTAAATGCCAAATTAGATCACCCTGGATCAAATGCCAAACTGGATTAAACCAATACTGTGCCACCAGCATAGTGTTTGGCTTATATGACGGTTGCTCCCAAGAAAGTTGTGTTAATGAGTCCAATAACTGATGCCAGTTTTACACTGGAACATCCTAATATCAGCTCTTCCGTTCAGTGCTAAATATTCTCACTGTCCCTTCTTTATTTAATGGAACTGTTCAACTACTTCTAATTTTATCAATTTTCTCAAAAAGGAATGGGATCTATAAAAGAAACGATACTGGTACTAAACTTAGTGTATAGCAGGATATAAATGGCACTTTTTAAAAAATCATGTTTTCATTCTGGACACATGGTCCTCTGCTCAACAACTGTCTTGAACAGTCAAGAACTACCTACTTTACCGAAAAACTTTAAAATATATTTTTTAAAAAAGCAAGAATTTTTAGCAGAAGAATTTCCTTATTCTTTGGGAAGATACTACAGATCAAATTAATAAGCATTCTATCCTAGTGTGTCTCATCCCCTATATATTATTTCTTTTTATTATACCTGCTGATTATGGTCATCAATTTAATCAACAGAAAATTTTCAAATTTTTATTAAAATCTTTGCATACTGTTTTTAGAATTAAGCACTTTCTTTTGCTAGTGGTAATTTATAAAAATGATAAATTTTACAAAGCCTTCTTTACTTCAAAACAAACTTATAGAATGGATACAATCTAGAGTCAAGTTTCTATTTTGTAAACATAAGAACAAATACAAAGAGGTTAGATGATTTCTCAAAGTCATACAACTGATTAATGACAGAGTGAGTGAGTTCCTAGATTTTGTGGCCAAGTAAAATCTCAAAAAACATTCCAGAGATCCCAAAATAGGGATGTCAATTTTGTTATTTTT